AGCTGCCATCACCAGTGTGTGGATGATTGTGTATAGTGTAAAGCTTTGGGGTCCTTAGGACCAAGTAAATGCTATCCACCTGTTGTTCCATCTTAGATACTGTGGCCCCTATAAAGATGAAACGTCCCAGAACTTCTCATCAACCATGGCTGAATGACACTATACGAGCCTTACGTCGTGCCTGCCGTCAACCTGAAAGGAGGTGGAAAAAAGAAACGCTTCAGATATCCTATGACATTCTTTGTAGGAGCCGCTTTCTCTACCAGAACTCCGTAAAGGCAGCTAAAGCAGCTTTCCTATCAGACATTATTGAGACTAACAGCCACAACCCCCGAATGTTATTCAGAATTTTAATTCAGCGATAAATCCCTGTCCGGACTCTTCGAGCTCAGCTCAGGCTCTCTGTGAGCAATTTCTTGATCATTTTACTGGAAAAGTTTTATTACTGAAGGCTTCTCACTCTCTTGTGCTGAATCCTGTTCCGGTTTTAAGATGCATGTCCACCTTTTCTCACTTTGAGCTGCTATCACTTCCCACTCTTAAGGGAAAAATTGAACAACTGAGAAACTCAAATTCTGTGAGATATCCTTCCATCCCGAATTATTAAGGAAGGCTTTGATGAAATTGGGCCTTGTATCTTATCCTTAATGAATTTATCATTGTTAGTGGGCGTGTCCCGACTGCCTTTAAACATGCGGTAGTGCACCCCGTTCTTAAAAAAAGTAATTTTGATCAGAAAGACCCTTCATAGGCCAATGTCGAAGCTTCCGTTTTTATCACAATTTTAGAGAAAGCTGTCTTTCTCCAAATACAGGCCTACTTAGTAGCAAATAATATCACTGACAAATACCAGTCTGGTTTTAGCCACACCATAGCACTGAAACGGCCCTGCTAAGAGTCTATAATGATCTTCTTGTATTTGCTGACTCTGGTCGCCCTGCCCTTTTAGTTTTATTGGATCTGTCTTCAGCCTTTGACATGGTTGATCATAATATACTCTTGAGGAGGCTAGAGCATGTTGTAGGCATCAAGTGCTCTGCCCTTAACTGGTTTAATTCTTACCTCACAGATCCTTCTCTGTTGTGATGGGAGGAAACTCTTCCTCTGTTGCCCCTCTCTGCTGTGGTGTGCCCCAGTGGTCTGTATTGGGCCCTTTATTATTCTCTTTGTATATGCTACCCTTGGGCTCCATATTTGAAAAATACAATATTTCTTATCACTTTTACGCCGATGACATTCAAATCTATTGTCAACTGACTGACTGGCAGCATCACTGAACTCCCTGAACGATTGTCTGAGAGAGGTTAAAGATTGGCTGTCAGAAAATTCTCTCGTTTTAAATGAGAAAAAAGCTGAAGTTATCGTGTTCGACAGCCATATTCCTGGAGACCAGCTTGTTGCCCTGCTGGGGCCCCGAGCTAACTCTCTCTCTGATTCTATGCGTAACCTGGGTGTCTATTTGGACAGCTCCTTTAAGCTCGATAAGCAAGTATCATCTGTAGTTAAATATGGGGGTTTTTTCAACTTCAAATTTCTAAAGCTAAGCATTATATACCACACAGGGACCTGGAAAAACGTATCCATGCTTTTGTGACCTCCAGGTTGGATTACTGTAATTCTCTCTACTGTGGTCTCCTTCTCTCTTCGAAGGCTGCAGCTCGTTCAGAAAGCTGCGGCTCGTCTTCTTACTGGCACTAGAAAATCTGACCCCATTACTCCGGCTCTTGTTGATCAACACTGGTTACCAATCAAATATCGAGTTTAAAATCTTGCTACTCGCTTTTAAAATCCTGAATAACATTGCGCCCAGCTACCTCACTGACCTCAATCTGTACACTCTGTCGTGCATTAAGATCATCAGGTCAGTTACTCCTGGCCCAACCTAAGTTTAGACTGAAGACCAGAGGCGACC